GTCTCTGTCTCCTCTCCATCTGTCTCTGTCTCCTCTGCTGTATCTGTCTCTGTCTCCGTCTGCCTGTCTCTACCACATCTATCCTCATCTATCTATATATCTATATATCTATATATCTTTGTCTCTTTTACTGTCTCTCTCTCTGCTGTGTATGTTCTCTTTACTCTCTTTACTTTGTGTGTCTGTCTCCTTTAGGCCTGTCTCTTCCTACATCTGTCTCTGTCTGTTATATATCTCTGTCTCTCTGAAGAGACAACTGCTGTAGATATACAAATGCTTCATTCTATAGTGGAGTGTCTCCTCTGCTGCTGCTGCAGCTGCTGTTGCTGCTGCTGTTGCTGCTGCTTGTGGTGTAGGTGCACGGAGGAGACACAATAAAGAGACAGTCCCTATCTTAAACAAAAGAGAATGTCTGGTTTTAAAGAGACAGACAGCCGCCTGCGACCTACTGAGAGCGCATGCGCATGCAGCCCCAAACTAATATGCATGCATGCATTCACCACCCCTCAGGCAGCTGTTGTTATTATATATATAGGGTAATGTTTACTTGCGTGTGGTGGATGTTTTAGCTGCTGCTGCTGCTGTTGCTGCTGCTGCTGCTGCTTGCTGTCCCTTTGTATGCTCATGCTTCTTGTGTCTCTTCTCTGCAGCAAGCTTGTGAAGAAGTTCTTTATACTCCTTCAGCGCTGCCCTTGATGCCTGAGCTTGCTTCTTCACCTTATGTCTATATAACCTCTTTCTTCTTATTCTTGACTCTGTTACAAGTCTCTGTACTCTCGGGGCTTTAGTTTTATTCTTTCCGTCTATCCTACGCCTAACAACAAACTTTGTAACATCAACCTCAGGACCAAGATTGAACAGCTTGCGGATATTGTTTGCTCTCTTTGGACCTAATCTTCTAGGCTTCTCCCCCCCTGTAAGCCCGGGTATCTCTGCAGGGCCCTTCTCAACAACAACAAGGTTTAATACAGATAGATCAGGGCCTACAATAGATCCACGCACGCTCTTTCTCTTCTTCTCACCCGTACGTCTTGGTCTGAAACACTTCATCCCTGTTCTAAATAATAGACGCACACGATGGTTTGCTAATATACCCTGCATCATCGGGAATCCTTGCTTATCATTGCCCCCTGTTATACGAAATAGATATCCCTTGAACTCCTCTCCTAATGAGTCACCAGGGACTTCAGCACCCATTCTACGCTCAAAGAAAGGTAAGAGCTTCTTCTCATCATCTATCTCCACCGTCTTCTGTAGCCCACAGGCTGGGTTTGCTATGTTTAGCTTCATTGTTATTAAAGCTTATTGCATGCGTTGCTGCTGAGCCCGAGAACAAATGAGGCTTCCTGCTGCCTATTAAAGAATAACAGCAACAACAACAGCAACTACACCAACACAAATCAACCAAACACCCTATAAATATCCAAGCAAACAAACAAACCCACACAAACAAACCCTACGGTATCACAGCCTCCCCATGCTGCTGCTGCTGCTGCAGCAGAGGCGCTGCTGCGCTCCAGCGCATGCATGCATAACTCGTCTAAACAGTTATTTATTATAATATTGTTCAGTTCTTACCTTTTACTTTTATCAATTTATTTTTATTTATACAAATATTTGGTTTTTAACGCAAAAAATACAATGCCGTACATACACTGCATGCACAGCTGCCTATACACCCCACACCCAGTCGTTCGTCTCACGCCGCCCCTCCCCACAACCCTCTATTATGAAGTGTACGTACAGTTGGGGCTTTATATATTTAATGTAGGTAAAACTGTTTAAAATAAATAAATATATTTAATAATAAAACATTTAAAATAATATTTATGCTTTTCAAGTGCTAATTTAAACTACTTCAACTCCTCCTCATGCACCTACCCCCGGACCCCCCATTACCCCAGAGCCGTACCCAGTCGTTCGTCTCACGCCGCCCCTCCCCACAACCCTCTATTATGAAGTGTACGTACACTTGGGGCTTTATATATTTAATGTAGGTAAAACTGTTTAAAATAAATAAATATATTTAGTAATAAAACATTTAAAATAATATTTATGCTTTTCAAATGCTAATTTAAACTACTTCAACTCCTCCTCATGCACCTACCCCCCGACCCCCCATTAATTACCCCAGAGCCGTACTGCTCTTCTTGTAGAGAGAGAGGATAAATAAATAAAATATATTTATTATTTTAAATATATTTTCTTTGCTTTTTAAAAATAAATAAATGCATTTAGAGCTTCTCATATGTTTATCTCCTCTGTCTGGGGATCTCACAGGGGACAAACTATAAAATGTTTATATGTTGGTGCGCCTAGGGAGACATTCTATTTAAATTAATCTCTGTGTTTTGCTTTCGTTTGATATATATTACTTCTTTATCTTATCTTCTCGTGTGCTCTCCAAGTTCGCCCTAAGGTCTGCTGCATTTGTGTAGCATGCATGCTCTCTGCGAAGCTATTAAGTGTATTATCTATATATTGATGTACAGGCTGTCTA